ACATCAGTGCTTCAACCGTAATGTTATGAAGCTATGAGAATACTTTTTGTGTGCAAAGAAAACAAAAATAACAATTTTATTCAACAATTTCTACAAAAAGTATTCTCATAGCTTCATAAAATTACGGTTGAAGCACTGATGTCACATGGACTATTTTAACGATGTCCTTCCTTACTACCTTTCTGGGCCATAACTAAACATTTCAGTTGTGTTGCTGTCTATGCAGGGTCAGAAAGCTCTCGTACTTCATCAAAAAAATCTTAATTTGTGTTCTGAATAAGAAAGAATGTCTTATGGGTTTGGAACGACATGAGGGTGAGTAATTAATGGCAGTATGTGAACTAACCCTTTAACAAAGTTATTATTCCCAGTGAATTTGTAAAGTGAGCACCAGATTCCCAGAAGTATTTGAAAGGCTTCTGGATCATTCTCACTCAAACAAGAGCATACATTCCTTCCTTTGACCGCCTTTCTGGGCCATAACTAAACATTTCAGTTGTGTTGCTGTCTATGCAGGGTCAGAAAGCTCTCGTACTTCATCAAAAAAATCTTAATTTGTGTTCTGAATAAGAAAGAATGTCTTATGGGTTTGGAACGACATGAGGGTGAGTAATTAATGGCAGTATTTAAACTTTTGGGTGAACTAACCCTTTAACAAAGTTATTATTCCCAGTGAATTTGTAAAGTGAGCACCAGATTCCCAGAAGTATTTGAAATGCTTCTGGATCATTCTCACTCAAACAACAGCATACATTACTTCCTTTGACCAAAGCATTCTGTGGTTATTTCATTGTTTTAGTGCGGCTAAGCATCGCCTTTTAAGTTTCCAAAATAGCAGCGCAATCCCTTCTTAATGTACACTCTTGATTAGCAATTTCATCATTTCTAGTTGGCATTTATTCAGTCCTGTTTTATGTGAGATGTGAGCCCTCACTTGGGACCCTAGGGCTGTTATAGTAGTGTGAATCACCGATGCACTAGGGGTGGGTGGATCGATCCTAATATCGTTAGTATCGATACCAACATTTGTATTGATATCAGATCATATACCAGCCGGATGAGATCAATACTTCAGGTTCATTTTCTCTCCTCTATGCTTAGTACATTGCTTCCGCTTCATCAAAGAGTTGACATATCTGTGTGTGTACATACACCGCTCTTTTCACATCTTGTATGCACACGTTGCTCATCCTTATATGGGAGGAAAATGCTTAATGTGAAGCGCTTCTGGATCATTCTCACTCAAACAACAGCATACATTACTTCCTTTGACCAAAGCATTCTGTGGTTATTTCATTGTTTTAGTGCGGCTAAGCATCGCCTTTTAAGTTTCCAAAATAGCAGCGCAATCCCTTCTTAATGTACACTCTTGATTAGCAATTTCATCATTTCTAGTTGGCATTTATTCAGTCCTGTTTTATGTGAGATGTGAGCCCTCACTTGGGACCCTAGGGCTGTTATAGTAGTGTGAATCACCGATGTACTAGGGGTGGGTGGATCGATCCTAATATCGTTAGTATCGATACCAACATTTGTATTGATATCAGATCATATACCAGCCGGATGAGATCAATACTTCAGGTTCATTTTCTCTCCTCTATGCCTAGTACATTGCTTCCGCTTCATCAAAGAGTTGACATATCTGTGTGTGTACATACACCGCTCTTTTCACATCTTGTATGCACACGTTGCTCATATGGGAGGAAAATGCTTAATGTGAAACTTTGCAAACTGCCTTCATATTCTGGGTTTTTCTGCTTGTCTGTAAATAGTATTTTCACATTAAATGTTTTTCACATTAAGCGTTTCTCACATTAAGCATTTTAGAATGTCCTACTGAGACAGAAGTCACTGGCAGAGTCCTTTCAGAAAGGCAAAGAATACCCACGTAGCAATGGTGAATGTAATATTTTAGTGGTAACACTTCAGTATAGGGACCAATTCTCACTATTAACTAGTTGCTTATTAGCATGCCTATTATTAACATATTGGCTGTTTATTAGAACTTCTAAAGCATTTATTCTACATGACCATATTTGTACATCCCTAATCCTACATAATGCCTAAACTTAACAACTACCTTACTAACTATTAATAAGCAGCAAATTAGGAGTTTATTAAGACAAACGTCATAGTTAATGGTTTGTTAATAGCGAGAATTGGACCTTAAAATAAAGTGTGACCACTTTAATCATATAAGCATTAGTTATGGTTAATTTTCAAAGTGTAATCGGTTAATTCAAATGCATGCTTTTAAAAGAAAAGGTATTTGTATAAGTATTGGTGATACTGGCCCTCTGTTTACTTGGTATCGGTTCAATAGAATCTGAAAATCACACCCACCGACGGGGAAAACAATCCAACGCTCTCCATTGACTTTCTATTGCGGGAAGCTGCCTCCTTGTCATTTCTGACTTGTAACAAAAAACAGAGCCATGCCTAAAAGCTGCTATGTAACAACTATAGCTAAAAAACCCAGAACTACGTATTTATAAGCTGTCGACCCAATAAAACGAGCGTTTAGGACACAAAAGTAGAGCGCAACGTGTCATATTACTCTACGCCCACTGGAGGGAAACGTAATCGGCGACAAAACCATTATTTATTTTTAACCATGTCAAAGGATTATTTTACCAGCCTATGTGAATCTGAGAGGAGGAGATATATTAAGAAACAAAATTTTATTGGTCTATGTCAGTGCCCCCCTTTTTTCTTAACCTTCCTTTTGAGAAATGATCCAACTGAACGGCCTAAACCAGGGGTGTCCAACCCTGGTCCTGGAGGGCTACCGTTCTGCAGATTTTAGCTCCAACCCGAATCAAACACACCTGAACCAGCTAATCATGGTGTTCAGGGCTGCTTAATAATTACAGATAGGTGTGTTGGAGCAGGGTTGGAACTGAAATCTGCAGGACGGACACCCCTGGCCTAAACTGTCCTAAACGTTTTTTGGGGGGTAGTTTTGACCCAGCGGTTTGGTTGTTTTGACCCAGTGATTGGGTCAAAACAACCAAACCGCTGAGTCAAAACAATCCAATAGCTGGGTTTGTCCCTTTTTAACCCAGCACTGGGTTATATATAACCCAGCATTTTTTAGAGTGTAAAAGGCGATTTTTTTGCACCCTCGGATTCCAGATATTCAAATAGTTGTATCTCAGCCAAATATTGTCCTATCCTAACAAAGCTTATTTATTCAGCTTTCAGACGATGTATAAATCTCAATTTTGAAAAAATTGAGACTTAAGACTGGTTTTGTGGTCCAGGGTAGTGTCGGGCCTGCCTGTTTTGGCAAGCTGAAATGCCATTTGTTCGTGCAGCTACACGAATGTTAACAAATCAGGCTTCAGTATTCAGAGAAAACTGAGTTTCCACTAGGCAGTGTTCATTTCCGTTATCTCGGGGAACCAAGGTTATGTTATTAACCAAGGCGTTTTCTGTGTAAACACGCTAGACGGACATGTTTAATGGTTGCAGCAACTCACGCATGACACTGCATTCTAAAAACGCATCTCTAGACTTCACTGCCATGCACCTCACAAAACCGTGTTCTATGGAGGGACCATTCACACAAAATAAACACATTTTCGTATTCCACTGTGTTGCTAACGCTACTGTTCAATAGTTTTTATTTTTTTTAATGTGCTTCCACACTTGGAGGCTTTTTTTTCATTCACTGCCCGGCCTCTCGTTTTTAAATAAAAAAAATATGCGTTTGGTGTGAGTGGCCTCTAGGCAGCTTTTGGTTGAATAATGTGCTACAAGTTGCTGCAGGTTTCTCCCATAAGGATACCTGACCTTAACATCTTCATAAAAACAGTACTCATTACCCAAACCAAATATAATATAATGCCTAAAACTACTTTGTTACCCTAAATTTAATTATGGTTCAAAATGAAATATGCTGTACTCTGTTAATCTGTACCAAGTACCCCACGATTTCAGTTTCATTGTCACAAGCCTTACATGTGTATGTGTTCTTGGCTGTTACTGCCACCGACCCCATTATTCATAGGCATTCATATCTGCACTGAAACTGTTCAGCTGTGTGTGTGCGTGGGCTGCAAACTGGGAGGTTTACGTCTCTAATGCTTTTAATTCAGCACCTGTGGGACCTGGCGGAAGCTTCCAGCATCCTTCTGCCTCCCGCTAATCCTTTGCTAATTGTTGCTTTATTCAAATAAATGAGTACACTAACGTCTTCGGTAATGATGATTTAGGGAGGTGCCTGAAACAGATGGACTGTGGACTGTACTGCTGTAGAACTGCAGGGAAAGATCGCTTTTGTCAGTTCTCATTTATGTATCCGTATGTTAACGAGACAGGTGGCAGTTTGTACGTCATAGCAAGTGCACCAATGCATGATTCATGCTGAGAATACTTACAGTGGAGAGTAGAACTGATTTCCCTTCATGAACTAATGGAATTATGGGATGTCTACAGTTGGTGAAGGTCTCCAGATCTGTCCCTGTGCATTGGTCATCGTGCAAGGATCGTATAATGATACCTATATAGTTTGAACCACAAAAGCAGAGTTTAGAGTCAGAGTTTATATTTTTAAGGATGAATGAGGTGACTTTATCCAAGAATTTAAGAGGTATAACATGACCTAACCTGACCAGTCCTTTATTCTTCTTAAAATACAATGATCTCTGATCTTTTAAAAAAGTTTAATTTAGGTCAAATTGATCTTTAGATGGCTTTCTCAAAAAAATTCTCAAATGTTTTTGATTAATCGTTTGCCTTTAATTTTGATAGCAAGTGGATACTTTTTGTCTTCTTCTTTTATTCAGTAATACCTAAAGCTGAAGGACAGCATGTTCATTTGATGACAAAATTTGTAATAATCTAAATATATTTTATGTATTAAACTGATTTGTAATACTTGGTAGGACGGTGAAATTTCAATTCATTCAAATTATTTCAATTATATTTGAATTATGTTATAGCTACTATGCTTATATTAATATTTGAGTGCGACAACAAATACCATAAGATTTTTGTTTTCAGTTTTTCTATTTGTTTTTAATTCAAGAGTTTATTTCATCATGAAATAGCTGGCCATTGCACATTCTGAAGGGTCACATCGAGGGTAAGAGCAAGACAAGATTGTCTTTGTGTTTGAAAATGTGAAAATGAAACGGTGAAAATATACACAGTAATGTTGAATAATTTATATACATGCAGCAAATGATGGTGCGAAGTAGCTTAAATTCATGCCTTGTACTGTTTTGATACACATACGAAATGTGAAATGAAACAAAAACCATATAACTGCTTCAACATGAGTTAGAACTATGTCAAACTCGACCTTCTCACAGAGAAGAGATAACTACAGTCCACAGATGTCTAAAAAAACACTACAATAAATTAAATCATAACAAGACTGTTCACATTTTAACATCACAAGTATGTACAGATGAACTCAACAGTTCTTCCTTGACAACCACTGACTGATCAACACCTTATAGTGACCATTTACATTTTCTTCAGTGGTTGGTTACAAGGATTTAAAAGTGCAAAACATATTACTTTAAAAGACATTCAACATCTTAATAGCTTTTACAATTTCACCTCCTCACTATACATTCTATCATCTACATATACTTTAAAAGAAACAAATAGAAACACTATTAACGATGTGATCTTACATTGTACGATGTGTTTTCAGTACCAATGTATTTTGTGATGGTGTTACTGTTAGTAAACATGGATATGAAATTGCTTGGCTAATTCACAGAATATCGTACATATTATGGAAATTCCAAAGAATGTACACTTAGCTACATCTTACATAAGTTTGAAATAGTGGACAGTTCACCAATGGAAATGAAAAGTGTTCTGGTCACCTTAACATAAAGAAAAGGACATTTTAAACCACGAGTTCCAGCATAAGAAAAGCTAACAAGGCACTTACTTGAGCTTGTGACCTAATGGCGATCTCGCCAGAATGTCTGCAAAAAAGGGAACTTGAAGCAGGGCAGTAGATACTTGCTCACATGTACAATCCACAAGGTCGTCCATCGAATCTAATCAATATTCGGAATTTCAGAAGAGGAAAAAAAAACAACCTCTGCCCGGGTCAATTAGGGCCCAGTGGAATTATTTGTCTAATATGAAGGCCTTTTTTGCAGAAATTCACAAGAACCTAAAATAAATTAAAGACACATTTTTAAGAGCTGTAATGTGCCTCGCTGTTTAGAATATGCAGTCAGCATAACCTGTTGCTTAACAAAACACATTCTTTAGTAATGCATTATGAGTTACTACCAGAAAATGAGGCCAGTTTGCCTCTCCATCCTCCTCTGCCCTTTCACCCTTTCCAGAACCCCATCATGCATTTTTTTTGCATGCTTTGACCTAGATTTATCGCAACATTCTTTTTCCTACTTTAGTAAGCACTTTTTTCACTTTCTTGCACCAAGTTTAGTCCTTTGATTGGTCTTTCTCTTAAAACTTTTCTCTTCAGTCTCATGAGTTTTTAGGAATTCTTTCTTTCAATTTTCGCTCTGAGAAGTTCTGATTCCATTCGCAACATTCACATCAAGCTCTTGAAATGTATTTCACCTCCTGCCGTGTTGAATTAAGCGAGTTTTTCAGCATGTATCATATGCTTCTTTCTTGAAAGCTCAAAGTCTCGTCTGTAAAGGTCACTTGCAGCGGCTGGTGCTTGGAACACTGCGATTCATTTGTGTTGGAGCGCGTGCATGAATGTGATTTCACAAAGTCTGTGTCTGTTTCTGTTCTGTTTTCTCCACTGCTGAGCTCTACCACCTGAGAGTCCCGCAGAAGGGTTTGCTCGGTTGAAGTTGAACACGTCCTGCTCTGCATAGAGTCACTGCAGCAGCCCATTTCCTGTCCCGCCTCCAGGGGAAACAGGTACATCTGCGACGTGCTGATCACCTCTGGCAACTCGGGCAGCACCAGCGACGGCAAATCACGAGACATGACCGATGAGTTGTGGATGCCATTACCACAGTGGAACTCTGTAGAGCTCCTCCCGTGTCTCCTCCCACCGATACGGCAGAAGAGGCACTTGATCTTTTCTAGAATCTTCTGTACGACTGTCTTTCTCAGCAGGATGTAGATCCAGGGGTCCAGAATGGGGTTGACAGAGGCAATTCGGATGGCCATAAGGTCTGGGTTCAGCTCTGTTGTCGTCTCTACTGGAGAATTATACAGCTGGTTCACAAACACCTGCATCTAGACAGGAAACAAGACATTATCAGTTTACTTTTTCAGTTATCTATAGATTTCTTACTATTTGATTTTTTAAACCGCAAATGATTATACATGCACTCATATCAGATATCGGTTATCTCCTCAGGCTTTCCACTATGAGTCAACACATAATAATCAGTGTACAGATCATACATACAGATACAATCCCATACAGTTTACATTTTGCGTACAACATCTCTCATCAATAGATAACAATCAATAGATGTCTCATGCACTAAGTTTGTGCCTGTGACAACCTTTTAGGCTTTTTATCAATTTCAACTTTTCAGTCTAAGTGTTGGTTGAAATTTTACAGTATGTAAAACTGTATGAGTGTTTTGTTAGTGTTTTAGTACGGATAGAGACCCAAAACTCACTAAAAGACTTTCAGGGCAAAAGAGAACACATCATAATATTTTTTATTGTGAAAAGATATAAAAACATAAGCATTATGGGATGTATTTTTTCAATACTATCTATATGTCATTATTAATTTATATAATATCAGCATATCAACCTAGTTGAGTCACGCATCTCAGTGTTACCTACACAAAACACCACCAGTGTAACACTAATGTAATAAACTGACCACAGAATAAAAGTAGTTTGTCTAAATAAAATGTAAGAAGTGATGGTTTGCCTGGCTTGCACAGGCAAAATATCCCATATTTTTTATTTATAAAACAACATAATCTTTTATTGTACAACTGTATCCTATATATTGCCCAGTAAATTATGATGTAAAATATACAATTTTACAGTAGATACAATTACAACGTACAGTATTGTAAAATAGGTATGATACTATTTCACATAATTTTGTGACAAAAATTACTCTTCTGTACCGTATCTAAGCTACGTTTTATGTTAATTCGAGGACTTTTATTAGCTAAAACCAGCAGATCACCTGGCAAACCAACTTTTTAAAGGTTTAAGTTTTGATCTGTTGTTTTCAGCCGAGTTTCCCCACATTAATACATTTTGTGCAACATCCTCTAAATCAAAATACTCTGTCATTTCCCAAAGACCACCACATGCCACTTACCACTAAAGGGATGGAGCAGATGAGCACGACAATGGACGTGGCTATGAGAACAATGACCATCTGGATCTCCGCGCCAGCCAGACGCACGAAACTCCGCCTGCGCCTGATCTCCGCGACTCGCGCCTGGTCCGTCCCCAGCGAGGTCCTGCGGACGAAGCGCTTGTGCATCATAATGAGAGCCGCGCACACCAGCACGTTACAGAGGACTGTGGCGAGGATGAGGACGGAGCTGAAGCCGGCGTACATGTAGGAGAAAGTGGCGTTCGTGCTGTCGTTGCTATGCCAGTCAATGAAACACCAGGTTCCTGGATGCTGTTGCACCACGGATCCCAGTCCCATGCTGGGAAGAGCGCAGAAGAGCGCATTGGACACATAGATCACCCATCATGCATTTTTTTTGCATGCTTTGACCTAGATTTATCGCAACATTCTTTTTCCTACTTTAGTAAGCACTTTTTTTTCACTTTCTTGCACCAAGTTTAGTCCTTTGGTTAGTCTTTCTCTTAAACTATTCTCTTTAGTCTCATGAGTTTTTAGGAATTCTTTCTTTCAGTTTTTGCTCTGAGTAGTTCTCATTCACAACACTCACATCAAGCTCTTGAAATGTATTTCACCTCCCGACACATCGTTCTGCTGAACTAAGCAAGTCTTTCAGCATGCATCATATGCTTCTTTCTTGTAAACTCAAATTCTCATCTGTAAAGGTCACCTGCAGAGGCTGGTGCTTGGAACATTGGGCTTCATTTGTGTTGGCGTGCGTGCACGAATGTGATTTCACAAAGTCCGTGCCTGTTTCCGTCCTGAGCTCTACCACCTGAGAGTCCCGCAGAAGGGTTTGCTCGGTTGAAGTCGAACACGTCCTGCTCTGCACAGAGCCACCGCAGCAGCCTATTTCCTGTCCTGCCTCCATGGGATACAGGTACATCTGTGATGTGCTGATCACCTCTGGCAGCTCGGGCAACGCTAGCGACGGCAAATCACGAGACATGACCGATGAGTTGTGGATGCCATTACCACAGTGGAACTCTGTAGAGCTCCTCCCGTGTCTCCTCCCACCGATACGGCAGAAGAGGCACTTGATCTTTTCTAGAATCTTCTGTACGACTGTCTTTCTCAGCAGGATGTAGATCCAGGGGTCCAGAATGGGGTTGACAGAGGCAATTCGGATGGCCATAAGGTCTGGGTTCAGCTCTGTTGTCGTCTCTACTGGAGAATTATACAGCTGGTTCACAAACACCTGCATCTAGACAGGAAACAAGACATTATCAGTTTACTTTTTCAGTTATCTATAGATTTCTTACTATTTGATTTTTTAAACCGCAAATGATTATACATGCACTCATATCAGATATCGGTTATCTCCTCAGGCTTTCCACTATGAGTCAACACATAATAATCAGTGTACAGATCATACATACAGATACAATCCCATACAGTTTACATTTTGCGTACAACATCTCTCATCAATAGATAACAATCAATAGATGTCTCATGCACTAAGTTTGTGCCTGTGACAACCTTTTAGGCTTTTTATCAATTTCAACTTTTCAGTCTAAGTGTTGGTTGAAATTTTACAGTATGTAAAACTGTATGAGTGTTTTGTTAGTGTTTTAGTACGGATAGAGACCCAAAACTCACTAAAAGACTTTCAGGGCAAAAGAGAACACATCATAATATTTTTTATTGTGAAAAGATATAAAAACATAAGCATTATGGGATGTATTTTTTCAATACTATCTATATGTCATTATTAATTTATATAATATCAGCATATCAACCTAGTTGAGTCACGCATCTCAGTGTTACCTACACAAAACACCACCAGTGTAACACTAATGTAATAAACTGACCACAGAATAAAAGTAGTTTGTCTAAATAAAATGTAAGAAGTGATGGTTTGCCTGGCTTGCACAGGCAAAATATCCCATATTTTTTATTTATAAAACAACATAATCTTTTATTGTACAACTGTATCCTATATATTGCCCAGTAAATTATGATGTAAAATATACAATTTTACAGTAGATACAATTACAACGTACAGTATTGTAAAATAGGTATGATACTATTTCACATAATTTTGTGACAAAAATTACTCTTCTGTACCGTATCTAAGCTACGTTTTATGTTAATTCGAGGACTTTTATTAGCTAAAACCAGCAGATCACCTGGCAAACCAACTTTTTAAAGGTTTAAGTTTTGATCTGTTGTTTTCAGCCGAGTTTCCCCACATTAATACATTTTGTGCAACATCCTCTAAATCAAAATACTCTGTCATTTCCCAAAGACCACCACATGCCACTTACCACTAAAGGGATGGAGCAGATGAGCACGACAATGGACGTGGCTATGAGAACAATGACCATCTGGATCTCCGCGCCAGCCAGACGCACGAAACTCCGCCTGCGCCTGATCTCCGCGACTCGCGCCTGGTCCGTCCCCAGCGAGGTCCTGCGGACGAAGCGCTTGTGCATCATAATGAGAGCCGCGCACACCAGCACGTTACAGAGGACTGTGGCGAGGATGAGGACGGAGCTGAAGCCGGCGTACATGTAGGAGAAAGTGGCGTTCGTGCTGTCGTTGCTATGCCAGTCAATGAAACACCAGGTTCCTGGATGCTGTTGCACCACGGATCCCAGTCCCATGCTGGGAAGAGCGCAGAAGAGCGCATTGGACACATAGATCACCACGAGCGTCAAGCCTGCCACCCGCTGGTCCACGTAGTGGTTGTAGAAATACGCGTGATTGATGGCGAGGTACCTCTCGACGGACATGGCGCAGATAATACTGAGACCTGCCAAGGAGAAGAAGAGTAGAATGAAGCCGGAATACTGACACAGCGGGATCCCACCGGGCCACACTCCCTTCACATAGGTGGCAATGGTGACTGGACTCGCAAGCATTGTTCCCAGGAGGTCAGTTACGGCAAGTCCACACACCAGAGTGTAAAAAGTGGTCTCTTTTTGCTCTTTCCGTGACTTTCGAAGCACTACGATAGCAATCACGTTCCCGACCACTCCAAATATGAACATAATGACCGGGATGGTACTAGGGTTCCAACCTTCCTTGACATGACTGTTGCTCGTTTCGTTCATCTTCACCGAGTTGTTGTTTTCACATGCAGGTTGATGTTCAAATCAAATCATGCGCTTAAGACGCATAGCGTGAAACGATGACTTGCTCAATCGCTGTATAACCACGGTCATACTTTCCACATCTAAGTTTCACGCGCTGTTACGCGTCTCCAAAATCTCAAAAGCGCGTCTCGGATTAGGATACATTTTGACTCGCCGGAGTCGGGTACACACGCAGTCTTTCACAGGTTCAAAAGTCCAGTCCTGTCTTTTTGCTCGAGAGAGGTGTGTAGTCCACGGTTGCCCTCAGTCTCACTAAACTGACTCGCATCTCAAGTTTTTCCTTGAGAGCTTTCTGCCAACTCCGCCCCTAGCGCGCAGTCTTGCACGCTCCTGTCACTGCAAGTTGACACATACATGTCTATGCATAAAATATCTACTAGGCTAATATTTACCTGATTCGCACTCATTGCTCTCTCTTCGTTTCGCCAAAATTATGCCTGTGTCATTCAAGTCTAAGATCGTTTTTGTGTCCCTCATGATCGAATGTGTGTATGGATTTAACAATGAAACGCTGAACCAACTTTTGGCATCTTTGCCATATCACATCAACATATCATATCAACATATCAACAAAAATCCAGTCATTTTTTATGTCCTACTTTTTATTGAACAAACTGGCAATAAAAGCCCCCCCTCTCTATTTGAATGATAGTGGACATAATGTAGTTTTAGCCGTCATATTTGTCTGATAAAATGGTGCTTCTTTCTCATGAGCTGCCTTCAAAAGTACAATATAGCATAACTTGACAGAAAGGAAGTGCTACTGCCATAATACATGTTAAAACATGAATAGTACATTTTGCTAAGACCCTAAAGGGACAAGTGTTTTGCTAAAAAAAAAATGCAGTAACAGCAATGAAAATCATACTTTATTTAAAAATATAAATGATTTTGTAACCATAATCATATTTTCAGTCCTCAGCATGATTTATTATTTTAGTGTTGTGATGACGGCAGCTCCTATGCCCCAGCACGCCATCCACCACACATGACCATAATCCATCCTTCAGAAAGAAATCAAACAGCACATGGTAAGTGCACAAAACTATATTCTTCTGTTATTACATCATCAAGATTTACATGCTGGCTTCATGCTAAGTTCTGGCCCCGGGGGTGAAGTAGCATAGTGCTATATAATTTATGCATGACATGTTCATAACGGGTGTGACAAATATAGTGTTATCCATTTTATCTGGTGCTTAAACCCTTAATCATTGACAATGAGATTTATACACTTGTGCAAAAAGTCAAATGAACAATTCAAGGAAGGATCGGAAGGAGTTAGGAAATTACATTTAGATCTCTTTTTCACCCTTTAAAAATGCTTTTGAATTATTATTAAAAATATATAGATGAAATATATTTTACAGTATTAGTTTCTTTAAGCACTTGCACTTCATTTTTTTGCCTATGACCTGGACAGTTCGGCAAGGTTTCCTGAAGACAGTAACTTAATCAGTGCACAGCCTATGAAATGTCATTAAACTAGCTGTTTCTGGATTTGTTTGTTTCCATCTTGTGGTGTACCTTGTGCTTACTGACGTCTGATGTCTGCTCAAGCTACGCAAGACGCAATGCTATTCAAAGCCACGCATGCACCAGCTACACACAACATAAATGCATTTATGAGCACTGAAAACAGTGTGGTTTTCTGTGAGGTTTGCATCTGTGAAAAAGTACATTGTTGTTACTGCTATGTAGCTACACAAAGGAAGTGTGCGGCCATAAGGTGTTTAGCAAAGTTCACAGGAATGTCACGTACCAGTTAGCTTGTAGAAATGCACAAAAAATGAGTGATTACCAATCACAAGCCCAGATCAAAAGATCTCAACCTAAAGCGTTAAAGATCACACATTCAATCTGAAAATAGAGCAGAAGTTGACAGAATAACACACACTGGGTAATGTTCTAAGAGCATCTCTTTTCAGTTCTGCAACTGTTTGTACTTTTTTAAAACTGCACTTGCAATATGAACATATAACAGTGCATTCAAATCTGAAGTCACAACTGTGATACAATTAAGTTGCAATTACGAGAAATAAAGTTGCGATTGGGACAGTTCAAATTGCAATTATTGCAAGATAAAATTACAATTATTAGACATTAAGTCACACGTGAGATATAAATTCACATTTATAAGAAATAGTCATGATTAAAAGAAATAGTCACAATTGTGAGATATGCAGTCACATTTGTGGGATAAAGTCTCATTTGAGAGAAATAAAGTTGCAATTGTCAGAAATAAAGTCTCATTTGTGATATATGTAGTTGCAATACCTAGAAATAAAGTTGTAAATGTGAGACACATTTGTGAGATTTAAACACAATTATGAGAAATAACGTCCCAAGTACCCCCTTTTTTTAAACTCATGAAACAGGGTTTCATTAGATATCATTGGCAGAACAGTGCAAATGGGGATGACGTCAAATGGTGCACAAGCATCAATCTTATAGAATGTCTGTGCAGGTATTGAATCCAACTCTTGCAGCGCAGGAAGATAGAGCAGTATTTTAAAAAGATTGATTCTGTATTTAATTATTGTCTGTGACGTGACGATCGATGACCCTTCATCACACATCATGTATTTAACTTTCTGAGAGTAAATTCCCGCTCAGTCCACTGTTACGATAGATGTCTAATCTGCAGTTAATGAAACATAAAACCTCTTAAACTACAGCTTTTGTTGATTGAGCTGTCTGTGTTTAGAAGGGTGATGCAGTTGACTAAGTGGCTGTATTGCATTTTCAATGCTTCTGTGACCAAAGTCAATATGCGGTAATTAAAAGTCATTCAATGAAGGCGGAGTGCATGATGGGTATTTACTTTATTCTAGGGAAGCTCCGCATAGACCGTATTTGATTACTTTCCCAGATAATGAGCAGACATGAGTCAGTGTCTAAAAAATATATATATATTAAAGTTATCACATTTGATGGCCTCTATATTAGCAAATTTTGAATATTTTCTTAGCGGTGATGGACATCTTGGCCCCCTGTCCCCGGCTTTTGTCTCCCTTAAAATTCATGTATGTCATCCATGTTTATGACTTAATTAACTTGTCACATTAACAGTCATTAAAGGATTTCCTTCATTTGCACTCAGTATTTCAAAGAGTCTTCATTTAGGAAGGGTTATATACACATCATTCTGGGGTTTCTCAATCCTGCTCTAAGAAATGCACATTTTGCATGTCTCTCTTAGAATAGAGCTCCTAATCTGGGTGTCTCAGATTGCTGAGACATCTAAAATGAGGTATTTTTAACGTAAATACCTCATATTTTTAACGTAAGAGTTTGTAACTTGAATGTGTGGCTTCCAGTGTCATTCACTTGTGTCAAAAACAGTCCATTAGGCAGCTTGATATTGTATACTGGAATTTTAATTAATTTTTGTAATCATAAACACACTGGTTAGGAGCACAAATAGTTTTACTGTTTACTGCACTTTGTTATTCTTCTAGTTACTTATATTTTTATGTTATGACTCGGAAGTCTTGCACATTGACAGAAAATAGCATACTGTAACGGAACTATCAAATATGATAGTAGTAATACATTAGTATACGTAGCCCACAAAACTACTCATCCAAACCACATCTCTGTTCAAATATAGTAAACAAATGCTTATTTTCTCTAATGTGAGTGTCAAATGTGACATGCTTGTTGATTTTTGACAAAAGGGTGGGGCGTGTGAAGAAATTCAGAAGAAATAAACAATTTTGTCAGGGAACTGAAGAGGAAGGAAGCAACTGGGGAAACACGCAAGTATTGATGTGTGTCTGTTGTGTGTGTGCGTTGTGGATTTCAGTCTCTTTGTGAATGTTGGCACAACTTTGTTGAGTGAAACTTTAGAGCACTTTTTTATGCTGCTTGACTGGATTGTGCATGCTTATGGCTTTGATACAATTTTGAGTCAATACAATAAATGCCAATTAAATAGAAGTATTTGAAATCGTAGTGTGAATCATCTGACGTAAATGATGCAACAGAAAAAACAAGATCGGCCTTAGATGCAAAGATAAAATATAGAAGCGTTATGAGCTGCATCACTGGAACAGTTTAGATCAAGTCCTGTTTCGCTTTCACCCTGATGAGACCTGATGTGACCACTTCCTCCACAAGTTACAGTCTGTATTGATGTATGTGAAAAGTGATCTCTGTAAACACTGCTATATAGATGCTGGGCAGTGAAAGGGTAAAAAATTAACTGAGAAACCGTTAACTGACACACACACACACACGCACGCACGCACGCACGCACACACACACACACACACACACACACACACACAGAAAGATCTGTCTTATCCTTTTAAATCTAGAATACGCATGTAGAAGAATGACACCTTTACTCTAGTCAAGTGGAGACTCTGACGAGTGGAATTTGTTGTAAAAGCAGGTTGGAGTGTGCATCTCAGTTCATTTCTGTGTGTAAGCATATGAGTTATGTCTGATGTCCCTCTGGACGCCCCCCTCCCCACCCCTCTTCAGAAGAAAAACCGCAGGCTGCCATCATGTTGCGTTTACTGGAATCACCTCCATTGAGTGAGACATGATCCTTCTCAAGATGTGTCACAGATTACAGTGTAATACTGTCTTGAGTGTTTGGTTTGTTTTTAATGTATTTTAAGGGGTCATATCATAATTGCTTATCATTTTTGTAAAAATGTAAAAAAAAAAGTAAATCACACAATATTTCTTCAATATGGATTCTCTTTATAAAAAATAAACATAAATAAAAGAAGTGAAGAGAATAAGATCTTTATGAAGCCTGACCACCCCAGCATTCATGAAAGAGTCAGACACATTTTGAAAAGAAGCCAAGACAAATGGCTTGTTCACCCGCGGGTGCGTTTGTACTAAATAACTGCTCAGATAAAACATCCGATTACTGGAACTGTCGTCCTGGTTTGGAAAACGTTACGTTTTTGGTGTCATGGGATATAGAGCCAGTGTGTATGACATAACTGACTGTTTAAAATCCAATTATGGTGTTTAAAAGGAAGGAAATACACAGAGTTATGATTTGACACTATAGAGACACAAGAGTGAGAATACATATCTCATAAATCATCTGATGTAGTTTGCATGAGCAATGAAATGAGCTTTATCTAATAGTAGAGTGACGATATGTCCTCCTTTTTTTAATTAAAATGGTCTTAAATGTCTGGGGTTTGGCTTTCTTTTCCTATCGACATGAGTCCTTATACATTATATGTTTGCATATTTGCACTGCACTGACCGTTTATGTACAATACCTGCACACTATTGGTCAAACTACTTTTCAGTCATTACCTTCAGCAAGTATAAAA